TATAATTTGCATAACCTATAGATTCTCTTAAATCCTTATCTACAGATTTTTTCAGCATCTCTATATATTGTATCTGGTAAAAAAATGAGAATTACCAATCATGTAGTATCACAGTTGTTCCAGGTAAATGCGAGGTTTCATTTTTAAATAGAAACTTTTTATTTACTTAATATAATTCTGAGTTTCATCTGAACCTGGTTTTTTATTCTGGTAGAGAAGAGGCTGCCTATTTTCCGCGAGTACACGTACTATGTTTTTGTTTAAGTGTATTAATCAAGATTGTTTCCGTTGTGTTTTACACATTAACTCACTCAGTTTAAATTCATAGGTGTTTAACGATCCCATATTCTGGTCGAATCTCCTGTTCAATTGAGTCGCTAATATACATTAAAAATGTTTTCCTGAAATACTAGAAATAGGATAGTCATTCTCCATACATATACTGTTACTAGATCATAATTAGATTTTCGAAAACATATTCATGAAACATTTATTTACATATAATTTTGAGAAGAAATATTAAACATTATTTCCCGTCATATGATGTTTTAGTTTTTTCATTTATCGATAAATGTAGAAACATCGATGTTGTAAGCTTAAAGAATACAGGAAGAGCGAAAACACAACTTGCATACTGTAGGTAATGATAAGTAAACCTAATTCAAGTAATGACAAAAAATAAATAAATGATATTGTGTTATTAATTCTTATCGTAATTTTGATTTGTAAATGACTTATATAAAATTGATAATATTAAACTTCATCAGCTTAATCTAGTTCACACCATAACAGCTGTTCGTGGTGCAATTTTTAAAATATAAGTATGGTCATCTCCTTTAAATATTGCTTGATTAGCATTTTGACTTCTGTGTGATTTGAAGTTACTAGCAGAAACGCCGCCGCCGTACGGGCGGCTGTTTGTGCAAGTGTTCATACCTCATTGAAAACATTTAGGAAAAAGTGAACATTTTCAAAAAAAGGATTTTCCTGGAAAGCACTTCACGGGAAAAGTATTCGGATTGTGCTGAGATAAACTGTAATGTACCAGTTATTGTAAAAATAACAGTTTTTTAAGAACTCCATTTTTTACTACTATATTTAC